AGTACGCTGTGTCAACGCTTGGAAAAGTAGATCATAGCACAGGATACTGGACACATGGCATACAGGTAAATGTTTTCACATTTTTGTTGTACCAGGAAAATACTGATTCGTTTTTTAGTGCTTCTTTACGAGAGTGCCGCCATCATGGTTGCGCTTACGTATAGGAGGACAACTAAATGCAACATTCCGAAGAGACTACTTTAAGAGTATACGAAATGATTTAATAATTTATTATAATATTATTATAATATTTGAAAAGATATAAATACCTACAATCAGTGGCGTCAGGTAATGTCATGGGCGTCGAGCGTATCAACAGTATTAATTAAGTTTTGCAACAATTTTTAAGTATTTATAAAATACCTTAAAATTTTGCCGATTTTGTGTAAGACAGGAGATTCTAGGATATTACCTCTATTACGGCCTAATATACGCAGCTACGCCACTGTCTACAATGGTTTAATTATATCTAAGTACTTGTTTAAAAAGGAGAATTGTAAATTTATTAAATTTTATAAGCTTTGTTTGTATATATCTAGTCAATCTTGTAGACGTATAATTCTTGATTAATGAATAAGTTTTGGAAATAACCATGACCATTTGGTACATTACATTGTTGTTTGTATTTTGTTTGCTAGAGTGATGTTTTGTTAATGAGAAACATAAACTGTACTTTACTTCTAGCATCAAATGTTGTATTTTTAATGTAAAACCAGAGTATCTCTCACCATTTTCCTGCCTAACTTTGGTTACACCCTTTTAAATGAAATTCTAAGGAGCTGATACTATTATATCTATGCGCTCAACATTTTACTGAATTTGATGTAGGCAACACACATTGCACGATTTTATAGCTATGTGCAAATTCCATAACAACGATCATGCAATTTACTTAGAACAAATATTTGAAAGTTTTGCCAAATCCAATTCAATTCGCAACAGCCTTTGCAACTGTTATAGACAAAGGTGGTCAGCAAAGTTTCCGGCCCTTAAAAAGATACACATTTTTTTTCTGAAATTTATATTTTATTTTTCTACATAGTTTCCTTGTAACTCCTACCCACTCCTCCCAGCTAGGTTCTTATTTCTGTAACCCGTATAAGTAGTACGTAAATTGTAAGTATAGATGTATAATACAATTTGATATTTACATACATTATAAGATAACATGTTAAGAAGACGAAAAAAAACTCAAATTATCATTTCTTGAATGTAAATTGAATGTAAATACCTATAGCTAGGATATTTAAAAGTAAGTAATTCTTAATTATAATACCGCATATTTTAAAAATAGATTCGTATTAGTTGCAATTGTAGGTGTATATTTATTAAAATATATTTTCATTGAACGACATTTGTTGTATTATATTGAATCTCAAAATATCAATATTTTGGTATTTATTTAACAAAAGATAATTACTGATAAAAAATATGTTCTCTAAATATAAAAGAATCATAATATTGATACACTCATCGGTAGGCCATGCGCAATCAAATAAAAAAAATTCAATTAGTCATCTAAAAAGTAGAAGAATTACTAATAAAATACCAAATATTCCAAAATAAATAATGTCAAGGACTAAATGACCTCATTAAAATAACCAAAAAATAATGCAATGATATGTTTTAGAAGTTGCCTACAATAGACATCCGTTAAAACTCATACAAAACTCTTAAGCAATCCTAAGAAGTATTCAATGCCGCCATAAACAAGAATATCGAGTGTGGTAGTAAGCAACGCTTTCCTGCAAATACCTGTTACCCACAAACATACACGCGCATACGTATTATAAACACACCGTATAGTCGTCCGAGTATACTCAAGACGTTTACCTGCGCGCATGCGCGTCAAGCTTTTCTTGTACCCACTTGAAAAGAAATTTCTCCTGTCGACTGCTTACACGCTCACTTCTTGTGCATACGGTCAGTCCGCACGCAGGCGGCAGGACAACGTCGATCAGGTGTTCGACGTGATCGTGAAAACGAACGAAAAAATTCGAAACCTAATTCCAAACAAAAAAACTTTCAAGTGAAAATGTCCGACGTGCAACGATAGCATCGAATCAAACACAAGTTTGATATGAAATTAACATATTTAGTGATATTTTCAAACAATGAAATTTAAAAGTTCATATGTGTCTTAGAATAAACTTAAATAAGTGATAATTTAGTGCAGAATCTACAAGAAGTAGGAAACTAAGTTATAAGTCCAGAAAACAACAAAAAAAACGTAAGTATTGTAAGATTATTCTAAGAAATGACTAAAATTAGTAACAGTAGTGCAATTTTTATGACTTTGGTGATGATAATCTCAAGTTAAATGTCATTATTGTCTTTGTTTCTGTTATTATTGCCAAAAGCGTAATTACGATTGCTAACAGCGCCAACTTTCTTGAAAGCACGACAGGTTGCTTTAAGCTAACGCGCAAACGCAGCTACCCGACTTAGACAAGACATACTTTCATATTTATTTAATACAAAATAAACCTAGGGTTTTAAACTCCACTTAACATTTTAAAAATATTATAACCCACTCAATAAATTACTTATTTAGTAAATATAACAATAAAAAACCTACAAATTTTATTATTAATTAATTATTTATGATTACAAACACCCTGTATATTTTTAAGGTGTACTATGTGCTTCTAATACGTAATGAGTGTGCATTGAACACAATCGTTCATTGGGCGTTTGATTATTCGACTAACAGGACATGCATTCTTATTAGAAAGGTTCATAAACGTTTTTGGTTGAATTCAAAAGATTCGAAACGTGACTAATATTTAAATAACCTCAAAATTGTATTACTTAAATTATAAATTCTATTATTTTGGAATGTGGTTTGATAGATATTTCCATGAAAATTGCAACAATACAAAATTTCGAAACCGCCTCGCATTGAAACTTCGATTAGGATCTTCACGAATGAACAAAACAAAATTCGTAAACACATGCGCAAATTGAACTTACGAGTACATTGCAATTGTAGGAATATCAAATACAAACGAACACGGGTTGTTGTAAGCACTTAACTTCGAACGTGTTTGAAGGAATTCAAGCGAGCGCACGAAAACGGAAATTTCTCAATCGGAAAACGCTTTTGATCTTTTATTTCGATAACTACCAATGAAATTTTACACAATATCAAATAACTGGAAGCAAGTAATTTGCTACTTGAGCCACTTACAACTTACAACTGAAATTCAATCTCTCAAAATATTTTTGTTGTCGGTGACATTTATATTTAATTTTTCATGTTTTTATTTTCGCATACATTCAACTTTTATCTTATATTTATCATAATACATACATTATACCTTCATAAACATATACTTAAATCAGATAGGTTATGTTGCTATTTGTCTAGCTGTTTTGTATGATTTTGTGTTGTCTTAGTCGTTGTTAATGTGTCGCTCGGAGTCTTTTTGATTGCACACCGACTCGAAATGCAACCTTCACGCATTCAAGTCGCCGATCCTTAACAACTTACAACGTACGAGCATACGATTAGTTTTTAAATGTGAAAGGTGATTACGTCCAAACAACTTTTTGGGCATAACGCTATTTAATATTAATTAAATTCGTTCATAAAATGGAGGGGCAAAGATATTTTAAACCGTCTGTATCAAAATTTGTAGACTAAAACATGATTTATGACTAGAGCTATAATTAAATTATAAAATACATTATTTAAACATATGCTCCACTTCTTTAAACTTTACGTGTGTAAAGTAGGTCCTATTATTCTCGTTTAATAAGTCTTTTCACTTAGAACAGCACTTTATTATACGTTATTAGACTCCAAAAAGCTAAAGAACCAAAGAACAAAAGATATGAGTAATAAAACCACTGAATTACTTGACTGATCCAATTTTGCGCGTGCAAAACTAGTGCAAACTTTATGGATGAAAGCAAATACAATACGCTACATCTTAAATTAAATCATGTTTGAATTTTATTATGAGAACTGATTAAAAATTAATGTCTAGAAAGATTATTGGTGGTGATTTATTATTTTTAATTTAATAAGTTGTAAATTTTAAGTATTGGTAGTTGTAGATGGTTGTAGATGGTGTCTATTTGACGTTAAGAATTAATTACGCTTTTATGGTCATCGTAGCGGTATTGCAATAATGAATACTTCTTATTACGTGTGTGTATACGAGTAAACTCACACCGATTACGATTTATGCTACGTCGGAGATATTTTTAGATTTGTCTAGAAATATGAATGGAATTCTTTGTGTGACCGTTATTAAAACAACAAAAATCCCCTAATAATCGATCTTTAATTGTGGTGTCTAAACGTCTGACTATCTTCATGTCTCAATGAAAAACTAATTTAATTTTAATTTTAATAGTTGTTGCAACTAAGTGATTACGAAGAATTCCTGTGACAAATGTGAATTTTGTCAGACATTGCTGACGTCAAAGTGGGGCAAAAAATGAAAGGTGTACTCAACGCCAGACGAATGAAACAAATGAAATGTTTAATTTCTTGCGGGCGAAAGAACAACCTTGAGACAGACGATGAACAACGTTGTCGGGTTGCGCAAAACGCAGCGGTTCCGGTATGCGTCGCCTTAATTTTTACTGTTTCGCATCGTTTACGCGTGTTGCGAGCATGATTCGCAACCATTTTACTGTAGATTTTAAACGAGCTTAAGCGTTTTACTGCGCTTTTATTATGACTTACAAGCAATTAAAAGAGTGTCAAACAAAGGGAAATTCTAACGAAGTTTTCTTTCGTTTTAATTTCTGCAACACAAATAGCACAAGGTTATGTTATGCAACCAATTTTTTCTCAAAATAAACTATACTAAAAAGAAATTAGTCCAACAAATAAACTAAATAATTATATTACACAGCTATAGTTTAAAATTATTAGACCACAAATGTTTCTACAAAGCGTGCTGGAATAATTTATTTTCGTTGTAAATCAGTTGTTTGCACTCGTTGACCAATGGCCCGAGAATACCACCAAGAAGAAATTGTGTAAACTCGAAAAAGAATACAAAAATGTACTTTTTGATAGATCTAAGCACATAAAAGCAAATGTAATTAACTAGTTGATCTTTTTGACGAAAAAATTCGGTCATTGACGAATGACATTTAATTAACATGTTTTTATAACTCCTTGAAATCGCATCGCAATGATTATCGCCCGATACATTCAATCGCCATCAAATTCGCGACTCATCGACGATGTTCATTGGAAGCACCGCGCGTTGTTTAATTCACGCCGCACCACAACCGCCTGACGGATTCTGAAGAACACGATGACCTACTTTCACTCTTCTTCGGTCGTGTTCTTCTTCTTCATTCGCGGTAATAAAAGTCACAGCGACGACGCATCCACGCTGCAATGAGTTTAATGTGATCTTTTTCGTCGTTGTCTGCGTCTAGCCGCGACTTAAATTCATTTAATTTTCTTAGATTAGTAGACCAGTCTGGCTTAAGAAATGCATCAACAGTAAAAACACTTAATACCCTCTTTTTATGGTCAGGTAATGCATGATGTACTCATTGCAGGCTATAAATAACAAATATGCGTTCAAAATTAGGAGAAAATTAACTTTTACGAAATTCGCCAGTAAACAAAAGACAATCGTGCGATGTGCGCCACTTCACACTTTAGATTAACATCTAACTTCCTGTCATTCTATAAAAGTCAAAACTCTAGTTTATGATTAATATCGTATGTTTCCGGACGATGTATCAGATTTAACCTAAAATAAATTTAGTACATTACGCCATCTAGCGGGTATTATTTTACTTATTTCGGTACAAAAATGAAAAGGAACCGCGTTAATGTGTATGAAGAATGCATAATTAATTAAACCGTGCAGAGTATGCAGAGTTTACAGATTGCGGAAGCTTGCAAGGAGCACACAAAGAAAAGAAAGAAAACCAGACCACCAGAACACGAGAAGTCGGTTGTTGTTTGCATTCGTCGCGGTAAATAAAACAAACGAATGCAACCATATATGCAAACAAAGTTAACTCATTAACAAAGATGCGTTCCGATGACTATATAACACAATGCATAATGAGTGAATTCGTCACATTTTATTATTATTTATTGCGCTTTTCGCTTTAGTTGTTTGTTCCTCGTTTTTCTGAACACTACGTAATGATTACTATACATATTTAAACAATATGTCATCAATGAATTAACAATTAACATATTTAATTGCATGGTAATTGTTTTGTGTTGAAAAGTTGCGCCATCTATAGTGACAAACAATGTACAATCTAGTTTATTGTCTCATTTATCATTATTAAATTATTATTAACAAATTACAATTGTTGCTTAAATTACTTGAAGCGGATTCGAAACGAATGCTCGCGTTTGCCTTTTGACATTTTTAATGTCGACATAATTTATTCCTTCATGATTGAATATGAAATACAACAATAACATAATAATAACGGCAATTATTGTTACTTAGTACTTACAACTTTCATTGTAACATTCGAGGTGACGTTATACGAGTTCAGTAAATGTTAAAGTTTAAAAAATTTGTTCTCTTTTTTTAAAATCACTTTCGATTTGGAATCAGTTGTGTTTTTCTTACGGCAATTTTGTGACAAGCAGAATATTAACATTGCACGATTACTTAACCTTAAATCTTTCTATTGTCTGTTTCAATTGTGCGTTTAGTACCTGCCATATATTTTGGAAATGTTTATAAACGTCTCTTTATTTTCTCATTGTAATAAACGGTCATGAATCGTCAATCCAATGTTTACCTTTAGGTTATAACATTCTGCAATTATGCAATCAGTTATATTAGCAATTACTAATGCGAAAGTTTAGAAAATTTAATTATTTCATGATAATCTTAAAAGCATTTAAATAAATACGAAAAAGTTAACATAAATATTTAATAAGTTGCGAAATTAATATAAATATTTTTTGAGTGTTAATTAAGTTTAATTTTAGTACTATAACTGTGAAAATGAGTAGATGTGTAAATTTGTGACGCTTTCACGCAAAAACAGTCAAAACCATTTTAATAAAATTTGGTATAGAGATGTTTTCACCAGGGAAAAGCAAATAGAAAACTTTTTGCCGCAAAAAAAACATACAGGGTGTAAAATAAATGATAGAAATTGATTATTAGCATATTTCACTACTTTAAATTAAAATTGAGAATCTTATTGACGAATTCGGCACATTATAAGAAACATGAAAGTAATTATCGAGGCTTCTTTTTATTAAAA